CCGGCCTTAACGATCACAAATATGACCGTTTTCGCCGGGTCAAGCCGGGTTGGCCCGGCCCGACCCGAATTTTGTCATTAAACGATCACTTAAGTGACTGTTTGGGCCAGGTCGGCCCGACCCGACAACCTGGCCCATTTGGACACCCCTAGATATGAGGAAGAACAAGCAAAGATATGAGGAAGAACAAGTTGCTTGCCGTTTAGAAAGGGAAAGGCCAAACACCATTTAATTTAGCTACAAAGCTACAACTCCCATAAAATTGTAATTCTGATTCACACTTTTCCCTCGATTCCATGATGCCAACAAAGGTTCCAAAAAAATCTAACCTAAAAGTCGCCATCATAAAATCCAACACAACGTGATCATCAATCACCAAACAATTATTAATTTAATCACTCATAATTACCCCCATTTGACGAAGGAATTAGTCGTAATTGCCAATTCCCCAACCACCCAAAAGAACACCACTCGCTGACAAGTGAGACCTTTTCCTATTCCAGCAGTAAGCACCCCCTTCCCTCGAGTCCTCAAGCGGCTGTCCTGTTTATAAAAATGGCGCCAAATGGAGGCCTAAAGCAACGACCAACTAACCTCATCACGTTTCTGAGCTGGAAGTCTGATGACAAAAGTTGCGGAATCCCCCTTAGCGAATTTACTATTCGCAGAAACCCCCTTTTACTTTAGGCTGTTTGGTTGGTTTCCTAAAAACCAAGAAAATGATTTCCATGTACTTTTTGTATTAAAATATTATTATAATCTCCCATTTCTTATTCTCAACCATTTCCATTCCTAAAACTTACCACAACAATCAATAAAATATTATTTTATCATCCAACTCATCTAATAAAATATTATTTTATCATCCAATAAAATATTACTTTTATCATCCAACATCTAATAAAATATTATTTTTATCATCACATCATCCAACTCATCTCATCTCATCCCATCTCATATTTAAAAATCAATCACATCATCCAATAATATGATGACAACTCATATCATCTCCTTAAACTTTCATCTCCACCCATTTTCTCCAAAAAAAACTAGGAAATGGGTTTCCTTAAGTGTGGGTCACATCATCCAATAATATAATGACAACTCATCTCATCTCATTTCTTTTCTTAGTTTTAAGAATGAACCAATCACAATAAAGGAATCTAAACAAGGAAAGTCTTTTCCTTTTAAGTTTTTTCCTTATTTTTTAGCCAACCAAACACAAGAAAAGAACCTCCAATAAGTTTTATAGAAATGTTAGGGACACACCCACAACCACAATCCCAACCACACCTCTACTCTCTCTATAGTGCATTGGGACCCACATGAAATTTTATTTTTAAAATTTCATGTGGGTCCCAATGCACTATAGAGAGAGTAGAGGTGTGGTTTGAATTGTGGTTGAGGGTGTGTACCTAACACCCCTCTAAGTTTTATTTAAAAATCACTCACATCATCCAATAATATAATGACAACTCATCTCATCTCATTTCCTTTTTACTTTTAAGAAGTGAACCAAACACAAGAAATGGATCAAATATTTAAGAAAACATTTCCTTTTCTTCCCATTTCCAATTCTTTTAGCGAACCAAACAGGGCAACTGCCTATTGAAGAGGTTAAAGTGCAAAAAGCAAAGTCTAAAAGGTGGATAAAAAACAAACAGAAAAAGGGAGAAAAAGGGGTTGGGTTCGCTTTCAGGCTGTTATTTTCTAATCAAGAATGGGGTTGTCTACTAAAAGCTTCCCATTTCAGCCATTTCCAGAGAGTCGGTCAGCAATCAGTGCTGGCGCTGGATCTCAAAGAGCGAGTTTTGATGGGTAAAAAAAATCTGTGATCTTGAAGGGTCTCTTCGATTTTATTTCAAATCTTATCTTGATGGCAAATTTGACGTGGGTTTTTTTTTTTGTTCTGAATCTGTTTATTGTGGAAAGATTTGATCTTTTTGTTGGGTTTTCGATTTATTCTCTTGGTGATCACATTGCTGCTTTAATATGTGCTTGTTTGATTTGT